AGAGAGAGAGAGAGAGAGAGAGAGAGAGAGACAGAGACAGAGAGAGAGAGACAGAGAGAGAGAGAGAGAAAGAGAGAGAGAAAGAGGGAGACAATCAGTGACCAACAGTCGACGACTTACCTTACTATATACACCTGCCATACTCAGCTCTGTCTCCAGTACCATCACAATGATCCCAAACATGCCAAACACAAGGCAATAGTCAGAAATTTTCTTCCTCTTTTGGTAGAGCGCTCGCCTCTTGCCTAGCCTATATCCCACACTAGGCTTCTGGCGAGACTTGTGCTGATGACGCTCTTCCGTGTACCTTTGGAACTCCGAGCCTCCGACCAGAGCAAGGCCGGCCTCTTCCGTGAAGCTGAGCTTCGAGGACGTGGGCAGGGACTGCATGGACGTGGGTTTCTGAAGCTGTTTGAAGGAGCCGATGGCGCCGTTGACCCGCATGTAATCCGCCCCGATGTCCGACAAGGTTTGGTTATGTTTCCCGCCGTCGTCACTGTACGCACGACCCGTTTCCTCTTCGCTGTTTGCTCGTGCATTTTCCCTCTGTGTGTGGAAGTACGGCGAACGCCCCCCTGTCGAGCGCATGGAATTGGAGGCTCGGAGGTTCAATTCCGACTTGGACACCACGTTGAAGGTGGGGACGGGTTCCCTGCTCGTGGAAGCCAGCTCGTAGCTGGGCCCCATGTTCCGCAGCTTCCACTTGCCCAGCTGTGAGGAGAAGGAGCCCTGCTGAGGCTGCTGCTGCTGGTGTTGAGCCAGAGGCATTGGGGAGATTTGGAACAGGTCGTTGCCCTTCTGACCTTTGTACTGACCTCTAGGGTCACTGCTGCCTTTAGATCCCGGGTATAAAACACTGTAGTTTTGGAGTTCGATATCGGGCGATGTATATCCTCGATTGACTCGACCATCGTTAGAATCAGAACTACTGCGGTTCAAAGTCCGGCTGTTGCTGCTGTTGCTGCTGTTGTTGTTGTTGTTGCTGCTGTTGTTATTGTTGTTATGATGGCTGTTCGAACTAGGGTTGTTGTTGTTGTTACTGTTGTTGTTGTTGTTGTTGATGTAGATGTTACCGCGGCTGCCGGTGCTGGTGGTGTTGATGGCGGCGTTGCTGTTGAAGGAGGAGTCGGCTGTGATGTCGTCCTCCTCTTCCACCGCCAGGTGTCGCCCGGGGAGGGCTGGGATGGAGAGCTCGGGCAGCGTTACCTCCTGTACACAGCGGCCTTGTCCTTCCTCCATGTCATCCTCGCTGGTGTTTTCCGCCCCCGACACACGGGCACGCTCATCACCGCAAACACTGACCACACTCCTTCTTCCTCCTCCTCCCCTTCCTCCTCCTCCTCCTCCTCCTCCTCCTCCTCCTCCTCCTCCTCCTCCTCCTCCTCCCTTAGCGCCGTGTACGTCCACCGGGTAACTGAAATCTTTCTCCCTAGCGATGATCTCCGACACAATAGCGATCTGAGAGTCGTGGGCAGCACTACTGGGACGGCTACTACAACCACTGCTGCTGCTGCTGTTGCTGTTGCTGCTGCTGTTGTTGCGACTGTTGAACACGATGTCGTTGTCGTCTGCAATGACGCTCGCATTCTCCAGGCCGTCCCCGCCACCCTCCAGCCTCGCTCGCTCCGTCCTGGCCGCTAGTGCCGTGTGCCGCTGTTGTTTACCGCCCGCGTAAACAAATCGATGAGCTTCGCGAACCGCTGAAGGCGGCTTTGCCCCGTCGCTAGTAGATTGTGTTTCTGTGTGTGGTGAGTACGTCGCTTCATGCACCAGACTCGGCAGCGAGGCGCGGCGGGCCGTGGGTGAGCGGCCGTCTAGGTCTAGATCTACTCCCGCCGTCAGATCCACGCCGCGGTTGTCCGTGCCGCGCGAAAACCCCCTGCGCCCTTTTGCTCCCTCGTCGTCGTGCGCGCTACTGGAACTCTCCTCTTCTCCTAGCAGCTGCTCGGTGGAATCGATGCGCTGTCGCTGACTCGCTGGCTCCACGAGCATCACAGACATGATGGTGGTGCTGCCTGGCTCTGCCCTACGTCATCACATCGTCACAACTTACCTGTACCTGTGAGGGAGATAAAGAGAGAGAAAAAGAGAGAGAGAAAGAGATAGTTAAAGAAACCATCACACCTTTGCTCATCGACACCCCGTCTGGGGGTGTTTTGTTTTTTCATTCCTCACTTTTTATCTTTTCTTTTCTGCTTTTGAGGGGGTGGGGGGGTGTCTCTTTTTCTTTTTTCTTTTCTTTCTTCTTTTGTTTGTTCCTCGGTAAAATTATGGGGATGAGCGATAAGCAAATGCGTTCTATTTCTACCCTGGCACATTATTTCTTGTCGCTTTCCTTTTTACATCGGTAAATGTTTGTGTACGTTAACTACACTTTGCTCGAGAGCTATTTACACTTTTTTAGAGATTGGCAAGTTTTGTCAAGTGTGTTCTTGAAAATATTGACCTTCACAGAGTGACAAAGCGTGCATCTTCCGTCATCTGTTTTAGATAAAAAACACAGCCTGCGAGGGCTCCTATCGTGTGAGGGAAAAGCAAATTTAATATTTGGATGTGCGTTACAAGTTTCCTTCAACGCTTACGAAAATTGCAACTGAATGTTCTTATAATATAATTGTCTTCGGTCTTTCAACGATAAAGCCTCTAGTTTTTACTTGTAAGAAATAATAATAATAAGAGTTTATGTATGTGTTTATACACGTCTGTGCGTCTTTGTATAATGTGTGAATGTGTTTGTGTGTGGTGGCGAAGGGGGGGGGGCAAAGGT